TGTTTGAATCTGTAACTCCTGTTTAAGCTAAAGGTGTTCACGGACTCTGCAAATTAACAAGATATCGGGTGAATCTGGATCCCCTTGGGTCATGCATCTAAAATGGAAGACTTCCTCTTTTTTTGAAAAGCCTCCATTAACACCATTAAGATGAAATAATATTTCAAGGATTATTTTGAAATGCTAATCAACAACCGTGTTAACTGGGAAGCCATCTGCTACAGCAAACGACAAGCGGGAAGAAGTGCTTTTAATTTGTTTTTAATTCAATCACAATAATGGCAGGTCACGCGTACGTGTCCATTTCTTTCCGTTCTGCTTCGGTTTTTATTCACCTCACACTGAAAACCATGATGCTACTAACATGAAGGCATATAGCACTGTTCATGCTGTATGCATGAATGTTGTATAAACAGTTTAAAAAACAAACATCAGACTTCACTTGGACAGAAATCAACATCTGACTACTACTCCAAATTTTAATGGTTTTCTTACTGAAACAAAAGAGTAAATGAAGACACTGTACACAACCATATCCCAGAATCCCTGGATTCAATATGGCAAATAATTATGGAAACAAAGGAAAACTGATATGTAATGGAAATTTAAATACATGGATAATCCATATAGCATGTTTAATAATAAAAATATGCTAACCGATTTCTAATTCAGTATTTGTAATGGAGGCCCTTTGTTCAACACAGAGCTTTACATCTTGGCTCTGTGGAAGGATGCTCCAAACAGCCTGGAACTCGTCCCACAATCTGGCCAACTTGCTTAGCCAGCTTTGCAGTATACATGCAATCCTGCGCGACCCCTGGCGTCCATGTCAGGACTTTGTGCACACCAAGGCCAGCCAGTGTATAGAAGCCAAAGTTCCTCCACAAACTGGCTGCACACTTGAGGTCACGGTCATGTTGGAAGGCAAATGCTGGACCTGCGAGACCCGTCAGAGGACAGGTTATCCCTGATACCCCAGGACGAGACACACCTCCGTTCTACACCGTTACACTGCTCTCCACTGTGCCTTCAAACGAACTGCCACTGATCACTGCCAAACAGATCCGACTTGGATGTGTCTGTGATCTTTTACCAGGGCATGCTGCCTTCCTAAAGCAAACACCCTTCCTTTGAGACTATTCTGTGCTCGTATGATTTGTACTTTTCAGGAAGAAAACTCCTCTATGGCAAAGTCATTCACAAGATCAACCATCAAACAGACCCTTACTGCGGGGAATGGAGTATCAGGATTGGCGAGTCTGGATCTCCTTCCTCAGAGAAAAGCAGATGGAGCTGGGCTGCCATCTGTCGATAGGAGTAGCCTTCATCAGCTAAAACTGATTTCTAGAAACTTGTCATGTAAGATTTCTTCCCAGGAGCAATAGCCTTCTCCTCTACAGTCTCAGCCGTCACACCATCAGTAATATACTGCGTTAGGCAATACTTCATGTTACAAAAAATACACATTAACCTGCTCTGTGCTTGCCGGGATAGACTCAGGTTCCCCCATGACACTGAACTGGAAGAAGCGATGGGAAAATAGATGAATGTGAATCATTATGAGTGCTGAATTCCCAGAGCACGCATCATCGCATCCGTGTTACTACCATGATTGTTGGATGAGCTATCTGCCACTGAACAACTCCTGCTCTCCAGTCTTAAGAAGCTGCACAGTATCTAATCTCTGCTTCAAACCCTCTAGCAGGGCAAAGCACCTCACTCTCTATTGCAATTCATTTCTTTAACAATTACATTCAGAAGCACAGACCACAGAACTCCTGCCAGCACTAACACTCGATATGCAAAGGCTGACTGAATTAACACCTAAACCTATATAACAAAAAGTGACTGCTCTGTAAAATGCTCCTCAATTAGTAACGGGGAAGCCCAGCAATGCATAACTATTGCTGCTTCCTAACGAGCTTTCCAGATTTTTGTTATAGATTTCATAAGCAGTGAAAATAAAATGCTGAGTACCGATATGAAAGCTTGCAGGAAGACACTCATTACACACAATCAGACTCACTTGTTAATGATCCAACGGTGAAACTTCACAACAATGAGGCTGTTATAATAAACATCCCAACTCCAAAACACTAATGCAATGTTACGCAGTAAACTCCAGTTCATCTGATGAGCTCAGCGTGACAGGGTTCAAAAGATCTCACTCACTTTTTGCACATTAAGTTCAGAAGACTTAATTGCCAGTTTCACTGTAGCTGAAACCCTCATTGGAGACACAGGTCAAAAGGAATAAATATCCTTCCAATGACTGCATTTGTTCTTCTCTCCCTGACAGCATTATAAACCTGCAGGCTTCAGGCAGGCCGCGGGGGTCACTGTAATGCCAGGACCTTTCAAAGCTACCCCACCCCACCCTCGGCAGCACTCAGCCAATCAGTGAACTGACCCAGGCTCAAACCCACGACCACACAGATCAACACTTGCTTGGCGAGCACCTTTATTCACTGAGCCATTTGGGAAAAGTCTTAATCCTGGCAAGCAGAGAAAAGGAGAGATCCCACACAGAGCTTTGGAGAGCTTTTGGAAATCCACCAATCACCAAGAGGTACACAGGGTGAAAGGAGTCCTCAACTGTAAACCCAGAGATAGACAAACAAGTCTATAAAGATAGCATCTTGAAGTCAAATACCATTTAATTCCAGACCAGAGTCCTTTCCTAAGTTCATAAAACTATTAGGCTACAAGTACATCCTTAAGGAAACTGTTACATGTTGTTTTTGGCTGTGAATTTGGCTTTGATCACATTTTGCTTTGAGAAAAAGGAGATTCAGCCCTTAAAACAGAATAGACACAAATGAGGGAAATCATGTACAGAGAGCTTTCCAAGTTTATAAGAGAATGAATCTCTTTTTTTAAAGTAGCCGTCAAAGTATACTTTTAAGTACACAGGAAGAAACGCTTCTTTCTATATATTGATGAAAGCAAATGAAGAGAACTCACATGCATGCTTATAGGACTGTCATTCAAAACCTATTACTGTATTTCCTAAAGCACCATTTGCATGCAGTAATGTAAAAGATCACATAGGCACGAGTTTAATCCCAAACGCAAGATTCACAAATAATTGATTTCACAAGACCTTTTAATAATAGCCAACCTGAATTTCAGCAGAAATCAAATATTAACCTTCAGATCTAAAACATGCATTATTAACATTGGCTACAGTACAACATTTCAGTAAACAAAGATTCCAAAGCCTTCCAGAATGCTTGACAAACAAAACCCCTGGACAAAGATGAATGACTTCATTTTTATAGACTGCAGCTTGTATTCATTGGTGTGGCATCAAAGAGAGCATGACAATGAATTCCAAAGGTGAAGAGTCTCAATGTCTTTGTTTCCTAGCAGAACGAAACGACAAGAGAACAGCACTGCAAACGGACGCGCTCACACGCCATCACCCACAGGTACAGACTGAGCTGAAAAAACCTCCAAGCCTCAGAGGTCCAGAACATCCTGAGTCAAGTCCTGCAAAGCAACGTTCAATTTGCTTACAAGCTGCACTGGTCCTGAATTCAGCCTGAACTGAGAGAGCCCTGGATATAGGACTTAAGCCTATAACAGCAATTGAATTAGCTCGCCAGTTGTTACTGAGCTACATCACTGGCAGAACCCTTCCATCATCCAACATCTGCTTGCATTAACTGAAACCAGTTAAAATTGATCTACAGTAAGAAGCCAGAAATTCTCCATTCTATCCATTCCAATCAACTCACTTTAATTATAGAGACACGAGAGGACAAATTTATTTCTGTTCAAAGACGACCAAAATTAACCCGGGATCTCCTTACAGGACGGCCACCGCGGAGTGTGGCTGGACTCACCATGATTCCAGATGTTGCTCTGCACTCGAGCTCCCAGGTGCAGCTTCACCCTGCAGCCTCACGCCTCTGTCTCCTGCTGGTGAGAAACAAACCCCATGAACACCTCCCCTCTCAACTGGCAGCAGGCAAGCACAACACATTTCTAAATATTTTCACTGCAGGATTTTGGCACAGCGGAACGATTACTTGTTTGATTAGCTGTTAATTAATTCAGGTCTTCAGCTGAAAGAACAGCACTGGAGTACATTGGCCCCAGTACCTGTTGGTTCATGCAGAAACAAAGTATAGCTTGCAAAGCAGCGCTCAGTGAAATACGCCTTTTAGAGCTAATAAATGTATTTTCCTTTAGAGTGCATCTTGATGTTACTACAGTATGTAAGCTTTTGTAAGCAAATGTAAGCGCATTTGGTTGCAAGGATCTCAACCAGCTGTTTCTTAAAAATAAACAGGATACTGGCTTCAACAGCATGGGTGGACATCATGTTCCATTTTTCTACAACACTTTTGAGCTATGCTTCCTCTGTAAAACCGCTCTCAGCTTTTAATGCACTTCCTGACAGTTTCTCATTGCACTGCCGATTCTGAAGAAGGCCTGTGGGTTGACTTGGGCAGTGCTTTTGAGGATTTGAGGATTTGGAATACTTTCAATCAGATCCTCTGGCAGCCTTCTCAGGCCAAAACTTTAAAGGTTAGGTTTCTGTGCACGTCAGTTTAGGACATTCCTGGAATCCCAGGTAGGTACTGGCTCACTCTCCTCTGGAGTTATCATACAGCAGATGTATCTTTTTTGGTACATGGTGAACACAATTGTACACAACATTTAAAATTAAGTTTTACTAGTGCGCTGTACAGTTTTAACACTCAAATTCTACACTTAACTAAAATGTTGGTGTTCTGTTGCTTCCTCACAATGTCAAAATGACAATATAGACACCTAAATCTTGTTTTAGTTTCTTCAAGTTCAGTTTTCCAAATTTCAAAGTTCTTCAAGTTTCCAATTCTACAGTTTATGGGTTTCTACTACCTGCAATCTGTACTCTGCACTTTTCTACTAATAAACACCATCTACCAAGCGTTAACCAAAAGCTTTAAGAATTGAAAAAAATAGTGATCCACCTTTCCCCAAATCACACTCCTGCCATATTTTAAAATGAATTGAATTCACTTATTTTAAAATGACAGACTGAAGAGTGCATATGTACGATCCACTTAAAGCTTTACAGTGAAGCCATCAGCCACATTAAAAAACCATCTGACAAAAGCTTTGTTCCTTATTTTCCAGAGACAGATGTGGAAATGTTTGGCAGCTGACAAGGTTCCTTTTACCATCACTGAGGGAATCCCGAGAGCTCTGGGTTCACAAGAAATGCGTGCTTAATTATTTCCAGCAATCACAAAAATCCCTCCACGTGACTCCAGTACAGATCCTATTTCACTGCTGGTTGACAACAAGGGGAATCTCAGCAGACTTAAATGTTTCTCAGGAAAGTGTTCAGACACCTGGGATTTCATTATGAGGCCCTAGAGACTCCTCAAAAATCCCTCGGAAACTTTCAATAGAGGTTTTATTCAAACTGTAAGTCAGCACAATGGAATGGAGTCAATGGAAAAGGAGTTTTATACATAACTTCAAAAGAAATGCCCAGACACCAAGACAGCTCACATTTGTGGTACTCGACTGCTTAGAAGGGTAACTCTATAAGTTTATAATAATGACTTCCGACTTCCGAGGAAAAGAGTATTGTTCAACACCCATGTGACAGTGCGAGACTATACTGGGTACAAAACGTACAGAACGAAGATCGATCTTTTGTTGACAAGCAAACTCTCTGCAAGAGCTAAGCTACATTAAGAATTACGATAAACTATTCTAGTAACACTAATGTCTGGCCGAGACCGCACAAATGTCTGGGCGCTGCTTCTCAGAAGAAAAAAATAGCTCGTCACATTCTGCCTTGCTTCAATAACAGGGCAATGCACAGTATAATATATATTATATTGCCACTCAACAGACCACAAGGGGGATATGCAAAATCACCAAGTCCTGTAAAAGCTCTCCATTACTTTAAATGATCAAGAGACAGTAGGAACCATGTGCCATCTTATGGCTAAAGAAGCAATTCACATTCACATGAATCACTGATCATGTGACACCCACCAGAGGTGCACTGGGCATTTCTGCAGGGTGGGGCGCAGGCTTCACAAAGCAGGAGATTTCCTTAGCAGACGTGGCAGAGATTGGGCTCACCAAAACTTCAAGCGTTGCTTTGAAAAAAAAAAGAGATGCTACCCCATTGGCAAAAAGAAAAGGGCTTTCAGAATGCTACAGCACATCTACTCATTAGTCAGACCAGTACAGGAGGGAATATACTCTACCTTTTTTTTTTTTAAGAGAGGGAGAGTCTATAGATCTGAAAATGTGAAAGCTTATCTTGATACTCCACCTATTTGTTTCAGTGTGGTGACAAACCACGTACCCGTTTTCGTAGTTAATCAAGGCACGATTAATTGGGACAAGATCATCTGAACACAACCAATGCAGTGCAGCAATTTAAAAGGGTCTGTTGCAGATTTTGTTTTGTTACAGATCCAGTTACCGTATCTATTCATTTTCTAACTGCTCTGCCCAGGACAGGTTTGATGCGCCAACAAGCACGGGGCACAAGGCAGGAGACGCCCTGGACGGGACGCCAATCCCTCACAGGGCAGACACGAACACCCGGGCCAATGATCCCAGACGCCAAGGAACCTACCAGCACGCGTTAGGACTGTGGGAGGAACCTAGAGCACCTGGAGGAACCTCTGCCCCACACAGGGGCAGAACACACAGGCGCTCCTGCAGGTAGCACTCCAGGAACTGAACCCAGGGCCCCCCCACTGCCAGCGCTGCACCCTCAAAGACCTACAACGTATCCCATTAACTAAAAAACAAAAACGATCTTTGCTCGATCAATGAAATTGTTTAACATCCTTCATGTTAAGCAACGCATCATCCAGACATCTCTAAGTGACCTCAAGAAAGAGGCTGTTAAAGCTGTTCAGACCACATCTCAAACTCCTGCTCCCCATCACACCTGCTCCAACACACACAGCTGGCTCCTTATAAACTCCTGAAATGAACTGGGTAATTGTCAGCAGACAGCAAGGTGCTTTTCTCTACAGGTGTCCGCACTTGATTCATTTGTACATATTCAATGACCTAGACAAATTGGCAGGCTTGGAAAAATATCAAAACTTCAGTGGGGCCCTATCCCAAGTGCAGACTGTTCTTGGACTGTTTCTTCGTAGTAAAACATTATTCCAACTCTCTACCGGGAAGCAGTTCTGGAGGCAACAAGTGCAGAGTGGGGTGGGGAGAAGGAAATTCCAGGCACGTTTCGGCAGTTTTCGTTTGTTATGGCTTTACACATAAAAATACTGCAACACAAAACAAAGAAATACAGGATACGGAGGTCTGCTCGCGTATTTACTCCCCATTAGCAGTGGGAAACACCGGGTATCGACTGCCTGTGTAAAGGCACCACGAGTCAGGAGCTTGACAAACTGCGACCGTCCAATCCTGGACCCGGAATGCCGCTGTGTCTTGAAAGAGTGGAGAGAAGCTGTGAAACTGGTCCAGTTAAGCCAGTAACCAGCTGCTTTGGCTCCTAAACAGCGGAGCTGGAATTGAAACCCGCAGACACGCTGGCCCTCCAGTCTCCATTACACGATAACCACGTGTGCAGGAGATGCACAGATGTACAGCAAGCGGTCTAATAGGATGGAAGCAGATTTACAGAAAAGGGAAACTGAAAACGGCTGAGCTATTTAGCACGGGACTTGATGTGTCGATTAAAAGCATTTCATTTCCGCATAGCCAGCGTCGTTTTCGACGCTTTAAAATAGACTTGTGTATCATTTAATCATCTCCCAGAAGCGATCTTAGTTGCTTGTTTTTTTTTTTTTGGTCCAAAAGATTAACAGGTTACTAAACATTTCAGCGTACTGTAGGTGCATCACACAGTTTTTTTTTCCTTCAGCCTGCACGGAAGAGATCTTAGGAACGCGTCGCAGCTGATCTTAAAACCCGTGCACCCACCCCCCACTGGGTATTCTTTAAGAAGTTATTTTATGATACCGATAAGGGTGGGCTTCCTAATCTCTGGTTTCCATTTTTAAACGCAAAAGTGAGACCGCCACCTCTTCTCTCAGCGGTTTCCCAGTTAGAAATGACGCTCCAGTCGCCCGCTGGACAGACAGGGACTGAATCACACGCACACTCTCTCGGCAAACGAACTAAAATGATCCCTGGTGCAGGTTTCTACACAGCTCTGCTGTCCCACACCTTGTACAGCACAAATTGTCGTTCTGGCGGTAGAACCGTCACACACCGCAAGAAAAACAGAGGAACGTGTATTTAGATAACCACACCTTTCAAATTCATCTTCTCAAAACTCAAGTGAACTTCCTAGCATATACGTCCATTACATTAAACTATAAACAGCGGCGACATCCCTCTGCTCAGCCTCTCATTTTCCAAGCCCCCCACGCCACGCCACGCGTGTCCTGACCCGCGGACAGTCCCAACTCTACCTGTAACGAGTGAACTTGTGCAGCGCCCTCAGTTTTTCCTTCCTCGGTCATAAGCTGCTCCCTTCGAGCCCAAACTCGGCGAAGGTCCCGATGACACAAGTCCAGCGCGTCCCAGGAGGACACGTACCCTTTTTACGACGGAGAACGTCGCCTGCAGCCTCCGGGTCTCTCCAGCCTGGGACGTGTCCTGCAGGACCTGCTCTCTGAACGCACACGGACGCTCCCCCGCCGGCCAGGAGAGCAGTGCGGCGTGTAGCTCAACTTTTCAAAAGGCGTGCTCTACGTGACTCGCTCTCCCCTTTCTCAATCACCCTGTCAAACGTAATCACACTCGGCGAGCAACGGCCCGCTCTTCCTCCTCTCCGAATTCACCCTCTGCTGCCCCGTCCACTTAAACCGCACGGTTCCCGCTCGTTAACCCCCCAAAAAAAAAATAATCAAACGGGAGCAACTGACCAGCGAAAGCGATTTCTTTAACGAGGCAAGGCTAGGTCTCTTTTTTCAAAACGGACTCCTTTATGGGGAGGGAGGGGGGACGTGTTCATTCTGAATATGCCCGGATCCTCAGTGGAGAGAATTCATTCATACGTTCATTAAATCACTTTTCTATAGTAAAAAAATAAATAAATGAGAGGCGTGTTATAGAAGTTAGAAAGTTGCGCTAATTGAATTCACAATTACTGGAAATCACGGTTCTCCAGTGCAGGTTAGTATCGGGCATGCGATCTCGATACAATATTATCACCTCTGGGACAGGGCGTGATGGCCAAGATTAGAGAGTGACACGTGGGGAGGGGCGTGTCAATTCCACACAGCAGTTCTGTGTGACACGTGGTGCGGACATTGACAGAAAACCACGTTTCGTGCCCTTTTTTTTTTTTGCAGCAATTCAATGAAAACTATTTAATCGTAAATATTTTCTCGTCATGACGAGAAAAATAGATGATCGATTGTAACTGTGAGCACGATTTTAACATTTTAGCATCCTGTCTGAAAAAAGGACGGAAATAGCTGCTGACAATAAAGCTAATAAATATTGATACAATGGGTTTCATAATTATCTTTATATAACGACATCCAAAGAGATGGCTGTTGTTATGTACTGACATTTTTCTCTAAATATTACACAAAAGGTATCCTGCGCGTTCTCGCTTAAAGAATGAAAAAGTATTTAAAAGGGAAAAATCTGGTAATAAACTTAAGGTTTGAAAATAACCATTTTCAAGTTTTACCGGCACTCCGCGGTTGCGTTTCTACACACGACACGCATAACATTCAGCATAAGCTTAAAATTGGAATCGTCCAAATTATTTCATTTTCCTCAGAGAAAATGTTGGCCGAAAGAAAACTAAAGTGGCTCGTTCCGTTTGAAGTGCCAAACCAGATTACTAGGAAATCGTCCCCCTGAAGAATTTCTTAAACAATAGACCGTCCTGAGCAAGGGAAATGACTAAAATTTCCTAAAAATTCCTGGCATCTGCGATGTTTCCTGTTCATTAAAAAAAAACGAAAAATGACCATAAACGAGTCGTTTTTTTCTTATTAAAAGCCCTTTAGATCTAACATTTATTATTCGTACTGTGTGTACAGTCATGAAAAAGGAATTTACTGAGAGCTGCGGCACTTGAAAGCACCTTTTTTAGGTACCCGCGTGCCTAAAGACGTACAGTTTTTTACTCTTCCGTCGGTGACGCGGCTCCGGCCAGCTCGCAGGTCCATTTCATGATTTAGCACCTGTCTGTGTGTGTGTCCGTCTTCTGCTAGGTCTTCGGTTGCAGTGGCTTCTCCTCCATCTCCCACAAACACGCGGGCTAGGAGGATAGGTTCACTACTAGTAATAATAAATACAAATTTTATATAGCGCCTTTAAAAGTAGCATCCCAAACGCATTAAAAGCGTTTTACAGAAGGTGTAAAAATAGTTATAAGGATAACAAACGACAAGGTGTGTAGAAATATAAGGAAGACAAGCGTTAGACGTTCAGCAGAAGTTGAACGGTACGGACACAGACACTGATTATGTAAAAGTTTTGAGTCTAGATTTATATGCACTCGGGGTAGGTGACTCTGCTAGCATTCCAGAGCTTTGGGGCGCAGCAGGAGAAGTCCCTGTCACCCACAGAGCGCAAACGAGCTTGGGGGACATATAAAAGACCAGACAGAGTCAGCTGAATCAAGCTTGCAAGATGGAGAGTAAACGGGTAGTTAGTTAATCAAATAAGCACTGAGGTGCCAAGCTCTGGAGAGCCTTACAGGTGAGCATGAGGATTCTTTAAAGTTCACTCCAAACCTGATATCAAACCTGAGTGCTACAACACACCTCATTTTGCATTGCAGACCTGTGGATTTCTTTTTTACTGGTGAATAGTCCAAATAAACTAGCTTTAACTATAGAGTGAAAAGCACTCATGAATAACATTACTCCACCCACCACAAGGCTGATCAGCATTCCTGCAATAACATTATGAATAATTACTTTACAACACTGCAAAAGATTAGTCTGCTGTTATGCACAGGATGTGATTAAGGTTTATCTTCAGGGTTAAAAGCAAATTAAGCCAAACCTTGACCCATGGGCTACAAAGTGCAAGGTAAACTAATTGTACCTCTTGGTGTTTTATTTTTGGCCACAGACTTCTTGCATCTTTGCAACACAAACCCATCATTAAGGACTGGAATTGTAATATACAATTGGCAAGTATGCTAAAGCTTTGATTTTATCAGGACCTTAATCACAAAGAAAACTGACACCATAATAGAAACAGTTCCATTACCATAACCAAGCCACAAGGCAATCTGACAGAATTCTGTAACTTGTGTACTAACAAAAAATACTCTGCATCAGCACATAACACCTGCCCTCTGTAAACTGCCCTGGTGAAATTTAGAGTGGACTTTAAGGTTCAGTTCAGTTCTTTTAGGCTGTCAGTGTGGGGTTTTTAAGACCAGGGATATATCCGGTTGCTCTTCCCTGGACTGATTCCAGACTAGCAGTATCACTTTGTATCACAAATCCAATTGCATTATTAGTAATACTTTTTTAAATGTGTGTTTAGACCTATAATAATTGCTCCTATCATTAAAATTTGAAAGTTGATCATTAATATGCACTTCTGTCTTTGATCTCCATAACAACCCTGGCACAGCTGCAGGACAAACATCACAGAAACTAGCACAGTCCAATGCATGCACTTTTTGGCTTGACATCCATCAGCTGCCACCACTTCTGAAGCTAGTTCAGTGCCTCTTCTTCAGAAAAACATTATTTTGATTGGAAAAAATAAACACATGAAAAGCTTTGGAAAGAACTGGATCTGAAAGCAGATTTCTGCACTTAACATGACCAAGTGAAATGCCTATAATATAAAAATTGTAGGTGCTTAGGTGACTAAAATCTTTACCTGAAGACTGACAATCACACTGGACACCACTCCTATATCCCCAGACAGGACTTTTTGTAGTTTCTTCTAAAGCTGTCATACGTTAATGCTTTGCCCCAGTGGTAAAAAACAAGATACCTATTAAAAAGAATGGTCTGCTCCTTGCACATCCCCCAAAAAAGAAGAAACCCATTTTCTGCCCTTTATCATATAGCAGACAGGAGAGGCAACATTTCACCAAGCTGAGAAAAATTGCAATTGCACCGTAATTAAGAGTTTGGCAACGAATAACAACATCTGCATTCCCTTCTGTTTTGGAGTTCTTAGCCTGAGCTTGTTTTTTATAAATATTTTGCATTCCAAACGGATCGTCTCGTTCTGTGAGCAGTTTCGTTTGCTGCCTCCGTCGTTGCCCAGTCCTTTCGAGATGGCTTGGCCGAATGTTGCTATTTCAAGGTTTTCCTGCGCAGAAAACAGGGAGGTACAAAGCACAGAGCTCCGAGACCTGAGCCTGCTGTCCCGCTCTCCTACAGCTTGCACAAAACAAAACTCAGCCAGGGATAATTTTGAGCGCAAATGAGTTCCATTTGACTCATCACCTCTACTTCCCTATTCAGCGCTCATCCTCTGATCTGCAGCAAACTTAAGAATAAAAACAAACAACATTTAAAAACGTATTGGCTGTTGACGGTGTAATCGAACTACAGGAATAACTTACCGACTCAGGAAACCTCAAACAGCAATATCAGCTGCTAAAGGCTATGCGCTGTTTTGGATATATGATTCAATGTAGTATTATTTCTCCCTCACAGCACGAGCTTCCTCAAACTCCTGGCCAGGTCTCGTTTAAAAATCTGTCAGTCCATGACGTGAGCGCTGAAACCGTGCCAGGGTCTTTTGGCTGTACAACATTTGTTGGGGCACAACTACGGGTTATATTTAATCCTATCACAGTTTATAAATAAAATCAACACGCAAAAAGGTGTTGCCAGTAACTTTCTACAGAGGAAGTCAACTTTGAAAACCAAGTTCAAGATTAAAGTAAAGCGGATTTAACAACAATGCTGCCCGCAGATGGGTAAATCTATCTACCGAATCCCACTTGGCAGTGGCAATTTTGCACATCAGCTGAAATAAGAAGCAACAAACATCTTATCCCTAGAAGGCTGTCAAGAACCGTACATTTCACACTGAGAAAAAAAGAGACTTCCTTTCATACAAAGGGCAAATAGGTGGGATATAGGGAGTGTGTACAACAGTCCTTTGGGCTTTTGATTTGTCTGCAATGCTTCAACCAGTGCAGCAGTGCAAATATTTCTAACACATTTTAACTCATACACTCAGACAAATGATTGTTGTTTCATTCCATGCTTGAATTTTGCAGCCACGCCTTGGAAGACTTAAGCAGGTAGCTGCATGTTAGACTTTTGTACAGCCACAAATATTTTGTAGGTCTACAGCCTGTCATGGGGCGCTGTAGTGTATTCTGCAATTATCTTCACAAGTATGTATTTTAATAAATCTTTTCTCTGCTATACCCTGCACTTCACTTCAGCACCTGGATACCCAACTAAGATGCATAACAGACATTCTATAGAGAAAAGATTCTGTTTTCAAGCTCTGAAAACCTTAAGCAGGCTCTGAATGAAATAGTCAACCTGAGCTTTGAAAACATGCTCAGTGGGCTCCAATCAAAAACTGGGAGATACTTATTACAAGGTGGCAGCGCAGTGATCCAGTGGTTAAAACTGCCTTCATGCAGTGCTGGAGCCTTGGGTTCCAGGCCTGAGCTGCTGTGTGGAGTTTGTGTGTTGTCCCTATGTTTGTGTACGTTTCCTCTAGGTGATCTGATTTCCTTGCAGTGTACAAAGGCATACGGGTAGCTTATCTGGCTTCCTGAAAAAACTGACCCTAGTGTGAGTTTTTACGTGTCTGTGTTTGTATCTGTGTGTACCCTGAGATGGACTGGTGTCCTGTCTAGAGTGTACTCTGCCTTGCACTCATTTCTTGCTGGGATAGGCTCTAGGTACTCCACTACCCTGAACTGAATAAAGA